ATATCGCGACGGAACGATTAGGGTGCGATTAGTGGCGGCTAAGGCGAAAGTCGCCCCAATTAAAGCGCAAAGTATACCGCGATTAGAGTTGCAGGCGAACTTAATAGGCGCGCGACTCGCGGAATTCGTGCAGGACGGACACAGAGTGGTAGCGGATAGGGTCGTATATTGGACGGACTCTACTACGGCGCTCCACTGGATACAAAACGATACGGCGCGTTACACTCCATACGTTGCTCACCGGTTAGGGGAGATAGCTGAGAAGACATCACCCGAGCAATGGAGGTGGATACCGACTGCGGAAAACGTAGCGGATCAGGCAACGCGGATGAATTTCACAACTAAGGAAGAGAGCGACAAGTGGTTTACCGGACCACCCTTCCTCTACGAGCATGAAGACAGATGGCCTCACCGACAGGAAGAGAAGGCGGGGGATGATGAAGAGATGGAGGAAATCGTGGCGCACCAGAGCGACACCCAGGAAGCTCCACACCTGCCAGACATAGGGAGATTCTCTGCCTACGAGAAGTTAATCAGGGCCACTGCAAGAGTACTACAATTCCTCGATGCGGCACGTGGAAGAGCACGAGGACTGACCTTACAGCACATCCAGAGAGCAGAACGGATGTGGATACAACACAGCCAGCAGGAAAGCTTCGCTGAAGACATCAGCCGCCTTCAGCGGGGAAAGAATTTGACCACCGGCAGCGCACTAAGGAAGCTCGACCCCATGTTGGAGGATGGAGTGCTACGAGCCAGGGGAAGGATCGACGCAGCCGACGTGGACGGTCAAATGAAGAGACCCATTATCCTGAATGGACGTCACCAATTTGTGAAGCTGCTTGTGGAGAAGGCGCATCAGGAAGCAAGCCACGCCAATAGGGAGAGGGTGGTGAACGACCTGCGCACTAGGTATCATATCCTCCGATTACGACCTACAGTACGGGAAGCGGAGCGGAGATGCCTACGATGCAGAATACGGAAGGCGACACCACGACCTGCGGTTACAGGAGACCTACCACCTGAACGGTTAGGGGCGTTTGCGCGACCATTTACGAACACCGGGAATGATTATTTCGGGCCTCTGACGGTTACGATAGGACGACGGCACGAAAAACGGTGGGTGGCACTGTTCACGTGCCTAACGACGCGCGCAGTACATCTAGAGATAGTCTATTCTCTGACCGCGGACTCGGCGATATCGGCATTGCGGCGCATGGCGGCTAGGCGTGGGTGGCCACGGGTTATTTATTCGGATAATGGGACTAATTTTCATGGGGCAAACACAGAATTACGACGGGCAATGGAAGAGTGGGCGCCACAGTTGAAGGATTACGCGCTGACCCGGCGCGTCGATTGGAAGTTCATCGCACCGGGCGCGCCTAACCAGGGAGGCGCATGGGAGCGTCTCGTGCGCTCAGTGAAGACCGCGCTCGAAGCCACTCTCCATCAGAAGAGCCCACGAGAAGAAACGCTGGCAACGCTTCTGACTGAAGCCGAAAACACTATAAACTCTCGACCGTTGAGGCACGTACCGGTCGACATCGACGATGAAGAGGCGCTGACACCCAACCACTTCCTACTGTTGGGACCATCGGGCCTGCCAGTCACCGCGCCGTGCACACCTATGGATCGTCGGGCGTGGAGAGCGGCGCAAGGACTCGCCGACGAATACTGGAGGCGCTGGGTGAAGGAGTACCTGCCGACGCTGGTCGCGCGCGGGGACTCCAGAGACGCTCGGCAGCGCCAAATACAGGAAGAGGACCTCGTCGTGGTTGCAGACGGCAACCTACCCAGGAACGTGTGGCCGCGGGGCATCGTAACGAAGACGTTTCCTGGACCAGACGGCGTGGTGCGAAACGTGGAAGTCCGAACCAAGGGAGGAGTGCTGCGGCGGCCCATCAGGAAGATCGCCGTCCTCCCGAGAGAAGCTTAGGCTCGCAGGCTACGCCGGGGGGAGGATGTAGCGGACAGCGAGGAGGCCGCCGCCCCGTCGCCCCTTCACACCCCGGTGCGCCCCGCGCACCCCGCACACCGGCAGCAGATCACGCGATGTCGCCGACCAATGAGCGCGCGGCATCGCGGACGGCGCTACGCACGACCCGAGACGCTCTCCGGCGAAATATAAGAAGGGCGTCTCGGACGGTTGTGGTTCATTTCGGAAGCGGCACTCGACGAGAAGAAGACAGCAAGAAAATCAAGAAAATCAAGACTCAAGAAGACTCCATCAAGAAGACTCCCCTCTGTGTAATAGTTTAATTAATAGTGCCACATTTTGTAAATAGTTAGAATACAGTATAGTTCGACAGTACCATCTTTTCTTTGAGCAGTTGCCCCCTAGCGTACCCCCCCCCCCCTCAATAATACAGTCCACTGCGATCCATAACAACATCTTTTCAAAATAGTGTCCATTAACATCAATACATCGCTGCATCCGATGGAACCACTGAGAAATGCACTTTGCCCACTCGTGCTTAGGGGTCTCTACGACGGCATTTTGAAACACAGCCACTGCTTCCTCGGCATCCATAAAACGTTTTCCTCGAAGTTTTTCTTTTACTTTCGGAAATAAATAAAAATCGCAAGGTGCGAGGGGCTATAGGGCTAGTGACCCAGTAATTCCACATATGACGTCGCCAAGTAGTCGATTGTTTGCTTGGCGGTGTGCGACGAAGCGTTGTCGTGATGAAGGAGGATCCTACTGCCAGGTCTTTTCTCCCGAACTTTTTCCAAGAGAAGTTGCAAACAATTGTTAGTGTACCTACCAGTCTGCAATAACTGTTTTTCGGTACACTAAAACAATTGTCGCATAATGTCCTGTCCTTACGAAGAACGAGGCCACTAACTTTTTTCTCACGCTTCGACCTCTCTTTACTTTAGTTGACAACTCCTCGGTAGGAAACACCCAGACAGCAGACTGTCCATTTCCAAACCATTTCACGACACCAATCAACACGATGGAATTTTCGGGTTTCTGTCAAATTATGAGGTATCCACCGGGCACAAAGCTTCTTGACCACTAAATGTTCATGGAGGAATTTGTGCACTTTACTCATACCGATGCCTAAGCTTGTCTGAATCTGCTGATAAGTCACTCTTTTGCAGCCTCTATCATACACCGGACAACACTAATGTTATCTTCAGTCGTCGCCGTAGAAGGCCGTCCCTCACGCAGATCATCGGTGAGATTAGTGCGACCACGTTTAAACTCATTAAACCAGTTGTAAACAGTGGCATGAGATGGGGCTTCAACGTGAAAGGCGAATGGCAGTCTATTATAACTTTCTTGTTACTTAAATGACATCGAAAGTCATAAAAAATCATTGTACGAAAATTTTCTCGCAAATTGCTTTTTCTTGAAAATTGTCTGTGTCACGTCAGCATGAATTTAAACATGCTGACGTGACACAGACAATTTTCAATTTGCCGCCAAATCGTAAACAAATGACAAATTAATAAAATACATTTATAGAAATAAATAAAGTTGAAGTGTCCGTTTGTAATGTCGAAATAACACCTTTTTATTAGATGCATATGAATGTATATACGGTACTTATAACAAAAACACTATTTTAAAATTTTTGTCTGTCCGTTTGTTCCGGCTAATCTCCGAAACGGCTGGACCGATTTTGACCAGACTTTCACTGGCAGATAATTGATGTCACAAGGAGTAACTTAGGCTACTTTTATTTTAGATAAGAATTAGGGATCCGCGCAAAAAAATTAAAACACGGGCGAAGTCGCGGGGAACAGCTAGTACACAACAATATTGGCAGTTCAATTTTCTAAATTTTAACTTATTTTTTTTATTATATCGTTTACAAGTAACACAAAGAAGTTGGCTTGGAAGTATAACCGCTCACATTAATGAATAGGTGTTCTTAATTGCTCAATAAATGCTCAATTGATATCCGCAATTGCTCAAATTGATAATTTATTAATTAATAAAATAATAAATTTATAATGTGAGCAATTGCGGATTTGAACTGAGCATTTAGTGAGCAATTAAGAGCACCTATTCATTAACGTGAGCGGTTATACTTCCAAGCCAACTTCTTTATGCTTTTACAAGTGGCCAGTTCTAAAAACTTTCAGTGTGGCCTCGTATTAAGAAAACAGCATATCTACGGGGGATTTCTGTTAAAGTTATTGCGTCTATAAATGATGCGATCGCACCCCAACTTGCTATTATTTTCAATTCTAGTATCGAATCTGGTGTTTCCTGATTTAATGAAACATAGTAAAGTTATACCTTTATTTAAATCTGGCAGTAGGTACATTGCATAGGCAGTAGGCTTAGCTTTCCATTGACTACCGTCGAGTTGGGGGTTGATACGTATTTTTACAGAAAAGATGACTTTCAATTAGTATTATGTAGGTACTGTATTCTATAATGAATAAAAATGATTCTATTCTATTCTATTCTACAGTGGTGCGTTTTGAAGTGGCAAGGATTTCATTATCTACGGGATACATTCTAAAACTGACTGGGTGACATCTTTTCCAAGAAATGCATTAAAATTTTAATACATTATTTGTTTAACTTGTGTGGGCATTTTATCTACATTCAATTAATTAAAGATAAAACTGATAAATTTTACTAAATGGTGTAATAATAAATGTTAAGATCCCTGATCTTGCGATCACGGCACTCTTGGGCTGGGGGCCTGTGGGATTTTGCCCGACCGTCTTCCTATTGTTACGCTACTGGTACAGAGTTAGATAGAGAGGAAGTTAGTAGTATTACATCCCCGTTGACCTAGCTCCTGACCCCTCTGTGGCCATGTCGGATTGCCAACATTCCATCAGAAAGAGAGAGTGCACCTGTGCTGACTAACTGATGAGTTTAGCAGCCATAATCCCGTGACCGAGATTCGGCCTGGAAGAGATTACTTTCATTGATTTAAATAAAACTAAAATCTTAACAACTTATGACATTTTTAATTTCATTTCTGTACACAAGAAACAATGAAATAACTAATTCTATACCTAACAATTTACTATTCAACATTAGATTGAGGTGGTGTTGTGTGAATACGTATTCCATGCATTTCTGCTATCTCACTCTTCAATGAGTCTGTCACTAGGCGGTGTTGCTTCACTCTTGATAGTCCAACAAATTCTTTGGCTTCGATACTGATCTATAAAATAAAAATAAACAAATGTTATATAAATGTACAAACTGGCCTGACACCATTCTGCCCTTGCCGGTAGGATTCACTCTAGACTTTTTATTCTGTAATCTAGATATATAATTTATTAATAACTCATCAATCATGCGACCTAGCAGGCCCAGATTTTGTGATATTCTTTTTGGCACTTAATGTAAATATAAGTCATTTGGTCCATAAATATGAAATTTCTTTAAAACTTGACTAAAGCACCTACAATCAGATCATGATACCTATGAACCATTGTCTCCACATATTATTATTCAAAGTGAAAATAAATAATATAATATGATAGTGAGGCTGTGCAGGTCTACCGTAGGTACCATAGCACACAAAATCCTGGCCCCACTGAAGATACATCTATAGGGCGCCTCTTAAAACACTCAGGAGATGAAATGGACACATGGATTATAGCTTGTATTATACTGTTACTACTCACTATGTGACTTCGAAACCTCCAAACTTTAAATATAAAGGAAATTGTTACAAAGCAAAATTAAATGTTACCTCAAACATAGCACCACAGCCACCAGAAATGTCTTGTACGCTGATATATGTGATGCCAGGCAATGAGCGTTTCAAAACTTGGGTCAGCTGCTCCTCTTTACGAATGGAATTGCGTTCGAAGGCACTATCATTCCCCACTGCCCGTACCTATATTTTTAATAACTATATGTAAAGTGACAGCCTTAAATATACGAACTGTAAAACAGGTGGTCATAGATCTTCCTTCTGAAGGCAAGGAAGGTGGTGAGAAATGTTTGCCATGCTACAAAAATGCATATTGTCACTTCACATGTCAAGTGAAGTGCCAATTTACTCTGTAGCAGAAATACTGGCACTGTCGGCTCTCTGGTTGCTTACTTAAAGGAGTTATAGAATAATATTTAAATAACTGACTTTTATTGAGCTGTAAGGGTTATTTGCATACCAATAAGACATGAATAACCATTTTTAAAATTTTAGCCTCTCTGTCTGAGCTAAGCTAAATAGCTGATCCGATTGTAATGAAACTTTACGAAAAGTAAGAGAAAAGATAGGGATCTCAGTTATATTTTATGCGAATTGCTTTTGAGTTTTATTTTAAAAAAATAGAAAAGTTGGTAAGATATATTAATGGTCTTTGATAACACAATATAGATCAGACCATGACCCAGACCCAGGAGAAGCTGAAACGGGGCGCTAATGTATTAAAATATGACTGTGTAATTGCAAACCAGTGGTAAAAACATAATATATGCTTTCAGACAGTGTTATAATTACAATTTATATTGAATTAAAATTCTTTTATATTCTAAACTAGCGATCCGCCCCGGGTTCGCACGGGTGATTTCTGAATCTCGACAACAGCGCCACCTGCTCGGTCCAATTGTGAATTTAAGCCATCCAGGGCTCACGGAGGGCAGGAACTCACTCTTTCAAAGCACCCAATCAATACTTTCGTCAATATCGGTCCAGCCGTTTTCGAGTTTTAGCGAGACTAACGGATAGCAATTTTTGAATTTTATATAATATAAAGATAACAACTTAACCTGTAAAAGCTCGACGAATTAAAATAAAAAAGTATTATTTTTGTAGCTTTTAAATTACTTACTCGGCCAGGAATGAGTGGTTGCAAAGCTCTTATAAAATGACGTAACATTTTTATAATAATAATCAATAAACTCAACGTTCTGGAAATGGCATTTTATAACGCTAAAACTATTTTAAATTTTGTGTACATAATTTAACCTTATTTTTATTATTTAGCTAACATAACCTATGAGTATGAGATCGGTCGGCTAGTGTTGTTGCTTGCTTGCTTGTTGTTGCTTTGTTCGTTACAATTTGCCAATTAAGGCAGGCAAAGATCTTAGACTATACAGTCTTGTCTGAAGTTTATTTCGATAAAATCATTAATTATGTTTTTCGACGGCTCTGTGGCTTAGCAATGAGATGCGAAACTAGTTGTGAATGTGGCATTTTTATTTTATAAACCAAAAAAGATCCATGAAATCCTGCGTAAAATAAACAAAAGCTGATTTAGAGCACCAACGCTCCAGGGTGTCCATAGTCGTAAACATATTCAGACACGACTACGGTTCTTACGGCGACACAATTTGAAGGCGGATTCGCATAGATCTCAACGAGATATGCCGAAAAGTATAAATAAAATTTTTCGGTATCTCACTTAGTTTCCGAGATATCGATACTCAAAAATGACTACTTTTACACAGGAATATTGACCCAAAGTTATTTCGATGATGCGGGTAGTGCGGTCTACACTTTGGATGTACGCGAGGTAATTTTTTACTAACTTTAATATAATGGACTTCCGCAAAGTAATGCCTGATTCTATTAACTATTTTTATTAAAAAAACAATTGGCTCGGACTGTGTCCACTCCGCAGTCTATTACAAAAATATGTAATATATGATTATCTGCGTAGTGTAATATTATTTGGATTAGAACGAATAGAATGAAGTAAAACAAACTCGACGAAAGGCGGTTAAACTGCGCGAGGCATTCCTTAATCAGCGGCGAGTTAACGGAATAGTACAATCATCATCATCATTACAGCCTTTCATAAGTCCCTTGCTGCACATAGGCTTCCCCCAAGGAATGCCACAATGCACGGTCTTGAGCTACCTGCATCCATCGACTTCCTGCATATCTTACCAGGTCGTTACTCCATCTAGTGGGGGGTCGCCCTACACTTCGCCTACCGGTACGACGCTGCCACTCGAGAACCTTTTATTCCCATCGGTTGTCGGTTCTTCGAGAAATATGGCCGGCCCATTGCCACTTCAGCTTACTACTCCGATAATAATTTGACGGCTTCGTGGCGCAGTGGCTAAGCAATGAGTTGCTGCGCTGAGGGCCGCGGGCTCGAATTCCGCACGGAACAAGTATATGTATGACCTACAAATAATTGTTCCGGGTCTCACGCATTGGTTGTACAATCTCGTTTTCAGGTTTTGAGGTATATCTGACGTGAAGATGTGTCGTAGTTTCTCGAACATTGCCCAGCCGAGTTGAATCCGTCGATTGACCTCTCGGTCGAAGTTGGACTTACCTAATCGGACTATTTGTCCCAGGTAAACATACTCATCAACAACTTCGAGCTTAGTGCTTGCAACAACTACCGATATAGGTGTGACATGGACATTAAACATGATTGTTACGGCCTACGGCTGCTCCCTTAAAGGACCAGACCGTCAGGGGCCCATGAGCTGAAGGCCTCCCGAGCAGACGTAGGTCGGGCTCCAATGTGCCACGTGGAAATTCCTAATTACATTAAATATATGGGGGAGCGTTATACTACGGCCAGTCGACCGGAAGAAATTTGGCGGAGTTCACTTACCTCTATCCAAGGCGACTGGTCCCTCCGGAGTCGGTCAGGTCACATGTGGTTGTGTAGTGCAAGGGAAAGAATGGTGATGTGGTGTGTATCTGGGTGTGACTGATGGTGATTGAACCTAGACCTTAGCCGTCGGCAGCAGCCCGAGCGTCGACACCGCTCCAACTTGAGGGGGCCTTTCGAGGTTATCCACAGTCACTTTCTGGTTCACCACGATGACAGTCACTTAACTCTATCGTACTATTAACTAGCTTACAGAAGCCACTAACTATCGCGGGGTATTAGGTTACCGCACAAAACACGCCCGGAGTTTCTGGGTCAAAGGTCACTACCGTTTCGCGTAGCAACAGTTAATTCTAGAATACAGAGGCCGCACTAACTAATATTGTCGAATGCACTATACAGATTCTGAGTCGGACTCAATAAGTCCTGGGGAAGCTCTCCAGTAGGGATACGCGCCACAAAATTCCTAGACCGTATTTTCACTGTCCGCGCTTAACTATTCCGAGTTCCCGCGCTTAATTGGCAGCGTGCCAATTGTTAGCACACCTGACAGACGACTGACTGCCCTTGGGCGTTTTTCGCACGACCGAAAGTCAAACCGGTATCGCGCCGAGCCGAGTGACATCTCGCGTCAATCCTTGAAAGTGTTTGGCGCGAACAAACCCCCGTCCCGGACATAAGGATTTAGGTCCGCGAGCAAACCGGTCAGCGGGACAAGGTCGCGAAGGCAAGTTGCAAGACCGAATCTACAACCAAACTAGGCCACCTTAGGCATCCCATCAGATCTTGCAACCCTAACCAGCGCCTCAAAAAATAGCCCTAATGTGGCAAGCCGGAGGGTCAGCCTCCACTGGATGCACCTCCTGGGCATCGCAGCACTTTAACAAGTCCTGTACTGGACAGAAGTCCGACGACCTCTTTCAAACACCTATCTGTGCCCCTATGATTAGTTCCGCAATCCGACCGGATCAGCTCTGCAAACAGTGACGCGACACGAAGCGGCCTCGAGCGGCCTCCTAAGCTTCAGTGCAGAGAGCACCCACAAATTCCACATGAACGTCGTCTGTGGAGAGCCGAACGAAACGCACAGATAGTCCCTAGTATGAATTTTCAACAAGTAGGCCTAGCCAGGCCACCCACCCTATTATCATTTACTAAAATAGTGCAGCAGCTGATTTCAATCCTATGAAGAAGAAGAAGAAGAAGAAGTCCTATGCTCATATTTCAACTAATTTTTCAAAAGCATCAATGTGCAACTACAGAATTAATTCAACCAATTTAATCACCGATGCGCATAGGTCAACTTGCAAATTAAACAAAACAATAACGTAAGGGACAGCCCTACTTCTTCGCAAAGCAAAATTCAAATTCAAATTCAAATTCAAATTCTTTATTCCATAACTTAATCTATTACATCAAATTGTGGTTGGAGCTTCCTTTTAAGCAAAGGATTTGCTTGTACTAGGAAGCACCACTCTTCCAAACAGTGGGTATACAACACTAAGTTAAGGCAAAGACTAATAGAAAGTTAGTTATTAAATTATAAAATTATAAAAAAAAAAAAGTGTGTGTGTGTGTGTGTGTGTGTGTGTGTGTGTATGTGTGTGTGTTTGTGCGTGCGTGTATGTTATATGTGTGCATGTGGGTGCATGTATGGTGCATGGTGCATGTATGTATAGAATATGTATCTTTGTGAATTATATATTATAGTGTGGAATATTACACATATTCGTTTGTTGGTTTGTTAGCCCTACGACTGTGTCTTGGGATCAGAAGTTATCATTGTTCAATGAATAACTTTCTCTAACTGTCACCAAAAGTTGCATAGCACTCAGTTGCGCTTATGGGTGATGAATGACACTCTCAATTTCTTCATAGTTTTTTGTGATTAACCATTTCTCTAGTGTCTTTTTACATTCAATATGTGATAGAGGGTAAATGTTGAGTTTTTTATTAAGTTTATTATATATGTAAGCAGACTGACTGTTATATTGCCTCTTTGCAAATACCGATCTAACCCGAGGCTGTGGAACAACATTAACGATCGTCCTACGATTGCTTTTTTTTGGGTCATAGGAAATCGACTTGTGCTTTCTAGTGACAATGCGTAGTAGGTACAACTTTCTTACAGATAAGATACCACTATTCAGATATAAGTTATCAGTTGGGGATCTATATGGTAAGAAGAACATTACTTTCAGAAGAGCTCTTTGTGCTCTTTCCAGATTTAAGAAACTAGTTTTTATCGCACCTCCCCAAACTGATATGCAGTAGGTAATAACTGATTCGGCAAGTGCGCGGTAGATTTTACGTAGAAGGTCCAGTCGAGCCACGTGTCGCAGAGTCTTAAATGACCAGATTAATTTCCTAACTCTGCTTGTGAGTTGCTCTATATGCTGATGCCAGGACAATCGCTGATCCAACATTACACCAAAGTATCTCGTATTAGAAACCTTTTTTAACTCAGGACAAGAGCAATCCGAGACCGAGTGATTATTGCAATAATGTAGCTTAATATTAAAGTAATCTGGGGGCTGCGAGTTGTTGTATTTGGTAAAACATATATAGTTAGTTTTAAGTAAATTTAAAGTGAGTAGGTTTTTGTTTAACCAGGATCCTAATTTTACTAAGCCAGTCTCCACACGATTTTTAAGTTGCTGCCAATCATTAGCAGAGAAAACAATAGCTGTATCGTCCGCATATGAGAAGATGTCACCACCCTCTATCTGCATATTACACAAACTATTGATGTAGACCAAGAACAAAGTGGGACCCAACACACTGCCCTGCGGGACACCATATGTGACAGTAGCCTCAGAACTAGTTATTGAGCCGATTTTGACACGAGTTTTACGATTGCTGAGATAGTCACCAAGAAGTTTTAGCGGAATACCTCTAACACCATGATTGTTAAGGTTTTGTAGTAGAATAGGGACGGAAACTGTGTCGAAGGCCTTTTTTAAATCTAAGAAGACAGCTAGACATTTTCTTCCGTAATCAACATGGTTTACCGTACGGGAAGTCAGTGCTATAATTGCGTCTTCCGTAGATAGATTCTGACGGAAGCCGAATTGTGATGTTGAAAGTATATTAAATTTTGAAAAGAACTTTATTAATCTAATGTTTATTAATTTCTCGAGTATCTTTGCTATTACAGATATCACCGATATCGGCCTATAGTTTGAAGGATTAAACTTGTCACCACTTTTATATACAGGTGTGATAATAGTCTGTTTAAGAGCTAACGGGAAGACGCCTTGTTCAAAACAAAGGTTAGCTAGGTGAACAAGAATTGGTAT